TTCCTTCTCCTCCAGAGTTGCCAGGGCCTCGTACCTGTTCTCCAGCCAGACTGGAGGAAGTGGTACTGTTGTGTTGCGAGCAGCCCTGGTTCTGGAGGTGACTGTCTGCCACTCTGCAGTGGAGGGCACTTCCCGAGGTGCCTCTTCCTTGGGTGTATGGCCCTGCAGGGAAAAGAAATAACCATCAATTTCATCCTCTGCCAACCTGTTTCCCCTCAGCCTGCTAACCTCCTCCTGGAGCTCCCTCACCTGCACCTCCAGGGCCCTAAGGCAGACACCTGCAGGACAGGTGTGGGGGTCCCCAATCCCTTCCACCCCGGGCCTTTCTGGGCAACCCCCACAGGCCAGGGGGTGGGGGGACACCAGCCCCCCCATGGGCTTTGTCTGGGTGGAGGCCTCAGACAAGCCCCGGGTAGGCTGCGCCCCCCAGGCAGGGGCCCTGGCAGCACTCTGTGTTGACACCATCGTAGGAGTTGCTGCATGTTTATGGCTTAGTGCAGTGCCTTCACCCTGTCATAGCAGGAGTCTCCCTCCTGGCCCTTCCTGCTCGCCTACTGGCGCGAACGCCTACACAAATGCCGGTGCGCTCTGTTTGCGTGGCTCAGGAGCACAGCTCCCTACCAGCTCAGCTAAGAGGGACCCAGGGGGCTTCCCCTCCGGATCCGGCTCAGCTGTGTTCGGTCCCTCTGCCCACTTACCTTAGAGGGATCAGCTGATGCTGCCCCCGCTGCTGGCTCTGCTGCTGCTGAGTCCGCCTCCGCCTCGGGTCAGGTAAGGGGGCACACGTGCATGTGGGACACACGTGTGCCTGGATCCCTCCTCTCCTCCCTGCTCCTGGCTCATGTATGGTTTCAAAAACAAAAAGTATTTTTTTCTGTGTGATACTCAGTATCAGGCTGTCAGAATAATTTAGTAATCTTTTTAGGCTTATATATTGATGATAAGAGACTGAACTAATTTACATTGTTTAATTTATGAAACAATATATATAATACAAAATGTGGTTCTGAAGTGTTTTCATTCATGTTCTATAGTACTCAGTTATATAAAACCTCCCAGTGACTTCAGAGAGCTACTGTTGGAAACAACCATGGTAACTTTGAAGAACAGATCCATTCAAAGATACATGAGCAAACTTGAAAGGCTCAGAGGTTCAGTTCAAATACCATGTTCAGATGTTTATGAGAAAGTAATTGCACTGGAAATGAAGCTTTATTGTTTCCAGGTTTCATATGTTTGAAAGAACAAATGGCCTCAAAAGATTTTGGAATTTGTGCTCCCAAGAAGAACAGAGAGGCTAATGTAAGTGATTTTAAATTTTGTTAAACTTTGTAACAAAAAAATGGAAGCTTCAGACCCAATTTTGTTTCATTTGAACAAGTTTTCTTGTGATAAATTAGAACAGCATGCCACTTGAGTTGTAACACTGCAATTGTGTATATACTCCACTAGGTGGTCCTCAAGACTGCACTCATTTTTCTTTAGTGGATCATGCAATCAAATGAAATATCTGAAACACTCTCATTTACAATCAAGCTGTAGCAATCTTGACTCAGACAAAATCCCAAATGAAGTCAATTGGAGTTCAGCCTGAGTAAGAGGTAGGTTGCACATTATTTTAAACAGAGCTGATTCCTGACTTTAAGATGTTCTGTGCAATAAGTTGACTTCCCAAGATCTACATAGTGTTAATAATATATCAAAATTGTGTGAAAATCACTTAGCTGTGTCCTATAGGGCTGTGCGAAGCTTTGGTCGCTGATTCGATTCAGCGTAGGTTTGGCCTTATTCAGCAGCTGAATCTACAAATCCGAATCAAATCAGGAGACCCTTTAATCTCTCCAAATTGAATTGGAACACTGAATCGATTTGGAGAGATTTGGAAAAATTCAATGATTTGGACACAGATGCAGTTTAAATATTTCTTCTACATACCACAAGGTAGCAGGCAGCTCGTGAATGCTGAGATGCTGGGGCAGATAGAGCATCCTACAGAAGCATGGGGGGGGTCCCCAGTGTGCTTAGCAGTGGACCTTGAAGTGGACCAGAAGCGCACAGGGGACCCCCCCCACTGCCTCCCCAACATGGCAACTGGTGCCTCCTGGGTCTGGGAGAGCACCTGGGGTTCCCCCATAGCTGATTGCTGAGCTGAGGGGGTATGGGGGAGGCCACCAGTGCACTCAGTGGTGGACCCAGAAGTGGATCAGAAGTACTTCTGATCCACTTCTGGGTTCTCTGCTGAGCATGTGGGGGGGGGGGGCCCTGTGCTCCTGTGGGACACTCCATCCACCCCAGCATTGCAGTGTTCATGAGATGTGTCTGGTACCTCAAGGTATCTATAAAAAACATTTGAAGCTGTGTCTATGGCTGAATCGCTGATTTTCCAAATCAGCATCAAATCTTCAGATTTGGATTTGGCCAAATCGAATCAGGACAGTAATCCGAATCAACTAATTGGATCACTGTCCCCGATTCAGGCCAAAGCTGAATCAAATATGGCCCATTTTGTACATCCCTAGTGTTCTACCTTTATTAGCCTGCAAACTCTTCTGAATGCAGGATAGAACTGATTTACAGGTATCTTTAATCTCATAGACAAATCCTATTCATGTTTTACATAAAAAGAGCCTTATCTTGATTAAAACAGATTAAACATTTTTTTTTTTGGATCAGGAGAATAAAACACACAATATTATTCCAAAAAACGGTAGATGCCTGTGGATAAAAAATGTGAGAAAGAACGTGTGACATCTGATTTCCAGAGTCTGTTTATAGACACATTGGCCACATCCCCATGAACAGGGCCATGTGGTTGCCACAGGGAGAAAAGCAGCAGCACAAATTTGTGTTGCTGCTTTTTGCCCTGAAGCACACCCCTGCACATGGGGTTAGTGCTGGGAAGAATGCTCTGGTTGGGGTAGGAGAGGCTGGAGCCAGCACCTATCCTGGCCCCAACAGCCTTATCTAGGGTTCTTGGAGCCTCCAGAGGGAGCAGTGGTGGTGATCCAGCAGCAGGGACCCTGGCCAGCAGACAGAATGTGGCTCTGATTGGCCAGGCTCCCAGTCTAGCAGTCTATGCTACTGCTGTGTGCACTACTGCATGCATTCTTTTTTTTTTTTTTTTTTTT